TCCAGTGGACCGAGTCTGAGAAACGTCACATCATATCGTGAGTCATTAGTCATTGTGTTTTGTGCATGTAATGGTGGATTTGAATGGAGTGTTGTGCTATGCAGCCAGACAGATGGCGTGAGCTTGATTCTACCGTATCGCCTGTCTTCTGCATGTTCCTCTCACTTGTCGATTGGACTGCTGGCTTTCTGTCCACTCGTCCACTGGTCCGTGTGTGCGTGTGCGTGTGCGTGTCGTGCGTGAATGTTTGCCAGCGCATATGTGTGCTTGCGCGCGTGCGTGTGTTTACACCGACATGGGAATCAGGTGTGGAGATGATGAGTGAAAACGACTGTTTCATCTGGTTCGATATGACTGATCGATAGTCTCGTTTGGTGTGGATGGAGATGATGACTATGCGGTTTGACTGAGGTGATGAGGAGAATGATGACTTGTTGCTGTCTGTTGTGGAGCTTTGTGTTCGTGATGCCACGTGATCGCGGTGACACAGATTGTGAACTCATTTTGAGATGTTTTCGAAGTGATGACGAGTGGTTCAATCCTAATTCTCTGTATATGTGTTGTGTTTTTTTGTTTTATTTCTACTGCTGCACAGGTCCGTCGGCAAGAATTTCAACTGTGCGGAGCACACCTGAGCAGAGTGATGCCAGTATCTCAAGACAATTCACTACACCGTCATCGACTGCCACAAGTTTGGGTAGGTTCACAGTTTCGCAGTCACATTTGTTTCGTGGACATTTCGACACGCATTCGCATGCGAAAGATGGATGTTTTGTCAGGGTTGAGTGGATTAGAGTTGACTGGTGTGATGATTGATGCTGATGGTGTAAGTGAGTGCGTCTTCGCAAATAGAATGTGAGGTGAAGACTAGTGATCAACACTGACTTCACGATGATTGCTTCTTTGTGTTTGTGTTGTTCTTGTTGTTGTTGTGGTTGTTGTTGTCGCCCTTGTCGTCGGCGTTGCTGATGATGCCGCTGCTGCTGTTGATGATGACGATGATGATGAAGAAGAAGAATTTGTTATTGTGGTTGTTGTTTGCTTGCTTTCTTTCCTGCTCGATTGTGTGTGAATGTGCGCGCGTGCCTGTGTTTGTTCATGAGTCTGAGCGTGATTGTGAATGTGGATGTGTTTTGGAAGGGTGGACTATAGATGTATAGCTATGCATTGCATGTGTGGTGGAATGTATCGGTGTGATTGTGAGTTGGTAGAGGAGGAAGTCGATGCTTAGAATTAGTGAATTGACGTGACGGAAATCGTGATGCTGAAACTGTTTGCTTCATCTCTCTTTTCGTTCCCATTTGTAGAGCCAACGATATTGGACGTGGAATTCGTGATCTACATCGAGGAGCTGTCTACACCGATGCGTTGGACAGACAACCTGACAGATCCAACGACTTCTGAATTCAGAGGCCTGTCGATTTCATCTTGTGACCTGGTAGGTGTGGAGTGGTTATCACGCCTCGGTATCGCTATACTCATATCAGTGTGGCTGTGTATCTGCTATCTAGTTTCCCTTTCTCTCGTGAAAACAATAGGTTGAGTGGTGTTCGACAGTCGAGCGTAGGCGACGTGAGTGTACGAATCTTGGGTTAAGTGTCGGTCGGTGTGAATGAAACAAGCGCATGGGTGATATTCTTCGTGTGATGAGTGGAAGAGCACTGGTTGACTGAGTTGCTTGAGTGTAGGCGATTCGACAGAGAATAGTAGAGACAGAGTGAGTGGGATGAGTTGTTATTGCATGCTGAGTTGGAGAGGGGCAGCGTGGAGTACACTGAGTGTTCTAGGATGTAGAGGAGTGTGTTTCGGAAGTGTGAATTTGTGCGTTGAGGAGGCATACAGAAGCAGGATTATTGTCTGAGTAAGCAGTTGTGCGCGTGACTGGTTCAGTGTTGAGTGAGTTCAGCTGCCATTCTCGGAGGCGAAGTTTCGATTTCACCAACCCGACTGCAGTGAGTTGAGTGGTGAAGACGTCGGGAGTCTGACAGGCTTCTCTGTGTTAGAAGATCTGTCCTCGTGGTCACTGGTGAGAAGCCTGTTCACACTAATCAGCATGATCACGTCAATCGAGGTGAGAAGGAAATTCATGATAGTACACAACCATTTGATATGAAGGAGCATGACTGATTGCGTTTCCCTTCTGATTCTCGTCTTTTATCTTCCAGCTGCTACGAAGCCTACAACTGGCTGACGAAGAGATATCTCGAGGTGCCACTTGTGTCAATGTCGTCTTCATTCGAATCCTTATCTGGATTGGGTTGAGTGTTGGGAACACAAGCACGGGAATTGAGCATGTGTCAATGGACGGTGTGCAAGCTATTGTGACCGTCGAGCTACTCTCACGGAAGGCCTCAGAGCTGAGTGACAATGATTTCACAGATCTTCTGATCCAGGGTTTCAGCAGGCTGAATATTTCCAGTGGACCGAGTCTGAGAAACGTCACATCATATCGTGAGTCATTAGTCATTGTGTTTTGTGCATGTAATGGTGGATTTGAATGGAGTGTTGTGCTATGCAGCCAGACAGATGGCGTGAGGTTGATTCTACCGTATCGCCTGTCTTCTGCATGTTCCTCTCACTTGTCGATTGGACTGCTGGCTTTCTGTCCACTCGTCCACTGGTCCGTGTGTGCGTGTGCGTGTGCGTGTCGTGCGTGAATGTTTGCCAGCGCATATGTGTGCTTGCGCGCGTGCGTGTGTTTACACCGACATGGGAATCAGGTGTGGAGATGATGAGTGAAAACGACTGTTTCATCTGGTTCGATATGACTGATCGATAGTCTCGTTTGGTGTGGATGGAGATGATGACTATGCGGTTTGACTGAGGTGATGAGGAGAATGATGACTTGTTGCTGTCTGTTGTGGAGCTTTGTGTTCGTGATGCCACGTGATCGCGGTGACACAGATTGTGAACTCATTTTGAGATGTTTTCGAAGTGATGACGAGTGGTTCAATCCTAATTCTCTGTATATGTGTTGTGTTTTTTTGTTTTATTTCTACTGCTGCACAGGTCCGTCGGCAAGAATTTCAACTGTGCGGAGCACACCTGAGCAGAGTGATGCCAGTATCTCAAGACAATTCACTACACCGTCATCGACTGCCACAAGTTTGGGTAGGTACACATTTACCGTTTCACATACTCGAATTACTTGTTTTGAAATTTTTTTAGTTCAGTGGAATTTTATTTGTTTCTTGGCCGCGTTTTATCTATATTTTCCTGTATTATTCTGGTAGTTATTTTAAACTTTGCGTATAATTTCATCAGTGTTGTACCTGGATGAAATATATTTTGACGAAATTCATCATATTTAAATAAAGTCATCTGCAAATTGTAAACTCCAGAACAGAAATTCGGTAATCTAATATATACTCGCGAAACAAATATTCCGCTAATTCAGCTAAACCTATAATATTAGGAGACAAATACTAATAAAAAATAAAAAAGGTCTATGGTTCGTTGTGTGTTTGTGTGACTTTGTATTTGAGTGTGTGACTTGCAGGTGTGTAGGTGTTTGTGGAAGTAGGTATGCATGGATTAACGTGTGTGTTTGTTTGCTTTGTTCACCTGTGCACAGACGCGTCTACAATCACCAGGACATCGAGAAGTAGCGTTGAGCCCACAGACACAAGTGTCTCCACACAATCCACGTCACTGACGTCGACGGAGACTATGACGGCTACGACGGGTACTGCGATAGTGACAGCGACAGAGGCAGCCACCCCGACGACGGCATCGACACCGACACTGACACAGACAGCCATGGTGGCAGCGACAGTCCCAGCGGCTTCCACCGACACGATGCTCTCCACAACACCGTCGACGATGTCAACGCCGACCACGACCACAACCCACATCACCGTCGCCACTACCAACACCACCGACATCGCCACCGCCACCGCCACGACGACCACGACGCCAGAGTCGGTGACGGTGACGCCAATGACGATGGCGACGATAACCAGCCCACAATCAACCACTGCTCCATTCGGTAGGTTCACATTCTCCATGGGATTTGTGTCTCTCGAACACTGACTGTGACACGCGTGTTTGCATGTCACGAGTGATTGTGGTGTGCAGTGTGATCGTTTGTCTGTCAGGCGGTTGTGACAGAGTTGTGATGTGCACACTCCCTGTTTCACTGGTCGGTCGACTGTCCGCCAGTCGTCCCGTCTCACCGGCGTCTCCACCTGTGCTTGTCCACTGTTCGATGGATTGAGTTCCGAGACAGTTTCATGTGTGCGTGTGTGTGTGTGCGCGTGGGTGTGTGGTTGTGCGGTTGGGTGTGCTCGAGGTGAGTACGACCTGATCATCTGTGATTCCATGTTGCCTCACACTGTCTACTTGAATTTCGAGAATCTCACATCACGTCTATCCGTGGTAGGGTGAGAGAGCCAGCGACTGAGTGAGTGAGATTTGTGTGAGTGTGTGTGTGTGTGCGGGCGGGCGCTTGGTATTATTATCGACTTCATTCGGTGATGACGAACACCATGGTGGCAGGAAGGAATAACCATGTGTGCAGTTTGCTGATGGCGGTTGATGATGGCGTTGTGTCGTCCAGATGAGGCGGTTGACTTGTTTCCGCGATTTGTGTGTGTGTGTGCATGCGGCGTGCGTGCGTAGGTGTAGGTGTGCCTGCGTCTGTGGTTTGTTGTGTGTTTGTGTGACTTTGTATTTGAGTGTGTGACTTGCAGGTGTGTAGGTGTTTGTGGAAGTAGGTATGCATGGATTAACGTGTGTGTTTGTTTGCTTTGTTCACCTGTGCACAGACGCGTCTACAATCACCAGGACATCGAGAAGTAGCGTTGAGCCCACAGACACAAGTGTCTCCACACAATCCACGTCACTGACGTCGACGGAGACTATGACGGCTACGACGGGTACTGCGATAGTGACAGCGACAGAGGCAGCCACCCCGACGACGGCATCGACACCGACACTGACACAGACAGCCATGGTGGCAGCGACAGTCCCAGCGGCTTCCACCGACACGATGCTCTCCACAACACCGTCGACGATGTCAACGCCGACCACGACCACAACCCACATCACCGTCGCCACTACCAACACCACCGACATCGCCACCGCCACCGCCACGACGACCACGACGCCAGAGTCGGTGACGGTGACGCCAATGACGATGGCGACGATAACCAGCCCACAATCAACCACTGCTCCTTTTGGTATGTTGATATTCTGGAGGTTATTATTGTCTTTCTCTAATTTTTGCACTAAATTTTTTTATTTCTTTTTTTTCTTGCGGCATTTTTTTTTCATTTCTATTTTTGGTATAATCTTTTTCTTTTTTCTTTGTGGGTTTTTTTCAGTTCGGTATATTTGTTTAGTTTTTTCTGCTTTTTTTCCTATTTTTTCGGGTTATATATAAATATATACATATATATATGTGTGTGTATATGTGTATATATTTTTATGTTTCCACCTTCATTGATCAGTGCTTTTTTGATTTTCTAGTTCATGACTCTTTTTTTTTTAATTATCGATATGTCCGGTTTTTTAGTATGATGTGATTTCTTTTAACGTTTTTTTGTGTAGGTAGGTTCTCATGTCATTCATTTCTGGTCATTTTATTTGCCTACGTCATAAGTTTTACATTGTTTTTCGAAATTTCTCGTTTCCCTTTAGTATCTCCATGGGTCGGAATTTTCACTTAATTCATCCTGACATTCTTGTTTGTTCCTATTTTACTTTGACTTTGTTGTGTTTTATTTGAATTTTGCGCTTTTTCACATTGTAATTATTCGGCCAATCTTTATTGGTAGTTTCTCAATCATTTCATTAGTTTTTATTGAAAATTTTCTTCTTTATTTAGTCATTGATGCAGATATGCACAAATTAAACTTATTTGTTTTCCCTCTAGAATTGGATACTTCTGTAAATTCTTTAGTTGTTTATTTTTGTTAAATGATTTTTTTCTAACAGTGGTTTCAACATTTTAAATGGATGTTATCTTCTTACTGTATAATGGTGTTATCCTTCTAGTCGATTAATAATTTTCACTGAGTAAGACAATTTGAAAGACTAGATTGTATGGTAATTTGTTGACGCTGGTCCCACCATGTTGCATCGAAATACATGATCTGTGTAGACAGAATCAATCAACAGGAAATGTAAATCAACCTAAAAAAACCTACATGATTATGAGCGTCGGTAGCGCAGCAGTTAGGAAGCTCCCCGACCACGCACATGGTTCGGAGTTCGATCCACGGCCAACGCACACCTTATAGCAATGGTTGACCGGCCAGATGTGGGCTGCCGATATCACGTGTTGAGAATTCTATAGCCGTACCAAAAATACTGTGTGGAATCAAGCTTTAATATGAAGTTTAAAAGTTTAAAAATCATGCTTGATGCTTAATGCGCTTCTATACATTGCTATACCACTGTGTTAATCCTAGCTGATTTCTTTAATAAGATGCCCGACTATTACTGACATATCTTTGTCTTTGTTATTCAGGTTATTCAACGGAACAGGATGTATGACTTAATCTCAGTCATAGTGTTCATTGATTTCTTAATTCCTTTTGTTTCATTAAAATTAAACATATAATGATTTTTTACCTTCTTTCAGTTAACACATCATTATCGATGATTACTGAAAAGGTCAATCTTACCTTGGATACAACAACCTTAAATATTTCCCGTCAAACAACAAATCCACCATCTCTGTCAGATACAGTTTATATCAGCACAGGTAAATATTTATTGTTATACTTATAATTCATATTAGTTTAGCGTCACGCATACATTAGCTTCATCTGAACTTCTCTACCTAAGAAAGAGAAATTTATGTCATTTCTAAACCTAACAATATAAAATACTTCCATGTTTTATTTTATCTTCAATCCAAAAGAAATATGATGATGAAAATAGAGAGCCACAAAATGTGGGAGCTGTATGTATAAGAGATATTGAAACTCCATATGACACTGCATGACTAAGAGGGTAGGGGAGAAAAGTACTGCGTATGTGAACAAGCAACCACTTTCTGTACAAAAACAGAAGAGTTCTTTCATCTTTACTTAAAAGATGTTTTGATCCAGTATGGCCACTTCACCTGGCACAATTAATTAATCTGGATCTAAACAAATTCCTACAATGCAATGACCTAAACAGCCTCAATATACTAGTTCACCCGATGTAGCTGATCTCACAGTTATTACATGGTACTTGGCAAATCATATTACTTTTTTCTGTTAGGATCTGTTGCCTTCTTCAGCAGATAAGTTTGTCTCTGAGTGAATGGGTTGGTTTATATACCACTTTAATTCCAGTCTCATTACGAATCCTACTTTGAGCCTCTGATATCCATTCTCTATGTGGTAGTACTTTTGCGACTTTGAATTCAATATTATCTATACTATTTCCACAATTTCTCTTGCTAATCTTATTTTATTGACAATCTCTATACATTTTTGAATAGAATCTGCCAGGTAGTTATTCCCTAGTAATGTTTCCTTTAATTTTTTTTAATGCCATCATTCAAATGCTTCCACTTACTAGTTAGGCTGTAGCTGAATTAGATAAAGATTTACTTAAACTTTCATTTGACCATATTGTCGAGTTCACCGAGGAAATTCATCCCTTGGCTAGTCGAAATGGGGTCAATTAATGCTTAGAACTAATAATTCTAGGTGCAGTATGATTTCAATGAAATTCATAAAGTAGATTACCCTAGAAGACAGATAACTGACAGTGTAAACACCCTGACATATCATTTATCTAAATATTTAGCATCAATCTTATCTTCTATAAGAGATACGTAATATTCTGAGTTAACTAATTCACATATAGAGGAACGAAAGCCACAAGAAAATTGAAATAGAAAAGGATGAAAAATTGATTGGTTTTGATATAACAAGTTTATGCATTAATATCTCAACTAATCACTTGGGAATGAACTCAACATTGATTCCGAAGTCAAAAACGAGACCAAGTTCTCAGTTAGAGAAATAAAGTTCAGCCTTCAATATAAGATATACAAACAAACAGATAGATTGGCGATAGGATCAACAACATCCTCAGTAGCATCAGCAAACATATTTATGAATACCTGGGAACATTAAGCTCTCTGAACATATATTACTTATAAATTTTGGCAGAAATATGGATGATATTTGACTTTATTGCAATCTTAACACACCTCTAATTTTCTTATGTGTATAAACTTTTTAGTAGCCAGAATCTGGTTCATTCTCAAGTTAGACAGTGAATCAGGTGAGTTAGCTAAGTTAAACCGAAAAATAAAACAAAAAAAGGGTGGTGGGTTAGATACTACCATGCATAGATACTTAAACTTTGACTCTTTCCGTCAAAATTTGTAAGGGTAGGTTTAATTAAATCATTATATTATCGAGCCAGGAGCCTAACCAGTAAATGAGAGGATTTAAGCCGTGCAGTTAAACATATAAAGGAAACATTACCAGTAAATAACTACCCACCATCTTCATTTATGATACTCGAAACTTTATCTGATCACTAGTACTGCATCAGTTCTTGTTATATCAGATAAACTTGTGTAATATGGGTATTTAGCATTTCCAAACACGTGGCACCACACCTGATAATTGCCCCTTTTATTGATGTTTACGGCCGCAAATAGCTCTACTAGGGTTGCCACGGTCGAATGAGTAGGTTAACAGCATATCCCCACCTACAAGAAACCAGGTTTCATAGGTGTCGAGCAGGACTACGATCATTGAAGTACTGCAAACCCGACTTGTGTACACCTAATTTTATGTGGTATTACAGAAAAAAGAAGTTCACGTATGCTGCCCCTGATCCACTATTGAGATTCTGGTTTCACATTTCACAGCTCTACTAGCATTCGTAGAACTAACTTGAAGCACTAGCTTACAGACTACTTCTAACTCTTCTCCTGTAGTGGTGAGTACAGTTAAAGGCTGCTGCTAATCCTGCAACAGAAATGGAAGCAAGTAGATACTATTCTTGGATGTAGAGATAACCAGCTATTCAAGTGCAACTTAAGTAGTAGGTATTTTAATCGAACAATAAAACGATATCATATCCATGTTCAAGGTCAAAATATGTTTCTTCGGGTATCAAATCTACATTACCACACACGCCTTTCGCAGTTATCTCCAGAATATCATCGATAATATGGTGAAAGACTAATGATGAAACTGGACAGCCCTCTTAAAGAACACTGTTGATTTTTGGCAGTGGTGACAACTGCCAGTCTATTTATGTATTTTAAAAGAGCGCTTTCGACTGGCTGACAAATAACTCTGAGACATCTCTATTTAAAAGCTGTTTTGAAGAGCTGCTATGTACAGTGATCGAAGCAGACTCATTGTGAAGAAATACAATGATTTTTGACCTGTAAAACGTGTCATGGTGTTCAATTAACTGACAAAAAGTGAAAACTTCAACATATAGAATGATAATTGACACAGTTACGCAACAGGAAACAAGTTAAGACATTGATTTTGAGTATTTGTGAAGCCAATAATTAACAAATCATCTTTTCTAAATGCTTGTCTATGACACTCAATCTCAAAAATGACTTGCGTAAACCAGTCACCGCTTCATCTCAGTCGGTCAACATTACCAAAACTACCCTAAGTTCCGAGTGGAACACAGGCCCTTATCAGCACATCTACATTTCATTCTGTTCTACACAGTATAGACATTATCCGGCTCCACGATTCACCATAAGCCTTTGTCATCTCCTCCTCTTCACACAATCTCCTCCATCTCCTCCACCCTCACACCCACGTCCAACTCGTCGTTTCCCATTCGAGTTCCAACCGACGGTTTATACCCTGCATCGTGGATGTCACTTAACAGCCTCCTCCTCGTCGTGTATCCAGTTCAACTCCAATGCTTTTCCATGCTCACGTGTTGGGTGATGCGTTCTTGGTTGGTTCGTTGCCAGATCTCCTTGTCGCTTACTCTTGCCAGTCGGTCATCTGATCTTCAGTATGCAGTGAAGGTAGCCGGTGATGAAAGTCTGTAGTAGGCTGCTGGAAATGTTTTTCGTGACACGCTCACCAAGTCTCTGAATCCTTAAGAATCATCATCAAATGACTGACTGACTGTCTGACTTGACATTCAATCGTTCATTGCTGTTACCAATGCGAATTTTCTTCATTATGCCACTAAGGTGTGTCTTGCTTTTCCGACCTTGAGCGGATTTGACATCGTCATCCGTTCTGTGTGTAGTTGAGAGAATGCTGCTGAGATAAGTGAACGAAATAACGTTTTTCGGATTTCTGCCGTTGGTAGTGACTTGTTTTCTTCTTTTTTGTTAGATATCTTAATCACCTCTGTCTGCTAGATAACAACAATATAACAATATTAAAGCTTTTTGGTGGATAGGAATTTTGTTAGCACAGTTATTTAGGCAGGCCATCGCTCGTTCACTTGATCAAGTTCTGTCTTCGCTTCTTGCCTCTTCTGACTACTTCTTGGCTTACACATGTATACTTTCGGGCGTACTTTACATCAGAAATAAATCTTCCGCGAAATTCAGATCTTCTGAAGTCTTTTTGACAGTTCAGTGGTTTCCTGTCCTTTCACTTCCAACTAACTGCTGCATGATCCAGTCCTCCATAATCAGGAATATCATCAGTGATAGTAAGCAGCTTTGTCCTAAACCTGTCTTCAAGTTAAAGGCTTCATTGAGCGTTCACTGTGGATCACTTGACATGTGACATTAGCACATCGCTGTTGAATTCTATTGATTGAGGTTTGAGGGTGTTCACTCCATAGTGTTGAAACAGTTTCTAATAATATTGGAACTGAGGTGGTGATCTGACTTTCTTTCTTTGCTCTGTTCTATTATAATGTGTAGTGTTGCAACTTCATTGGCATATGATTTACTTTTTCTGAGCTCAGCTTGTGCCGGGCAAAGTTCTACATCCAAGGCATCCTTTAGTCTCCTCAGGATGACACGATGTGGTGCTTGGAGCGGAGAAAAGCATGATCCCGCGCAAATTTTTGCAGAGGTCTGAGTTACCATTCATTGGTACTTTGACGAGATAGCCCTTCCTCCAATTAGTAGGTACTTTTCCTTACTTCCAAAAGTTTTGCAAAGATGATGCAAGAATATCCGTTGTGGTGTCTGAAACGTTTTCGGTGCCTTAGGGGGGATTTCACCCAGTGCTGCTGACTTCTTGGATTTAAGTATCTTGATTTCATTTGTAACTTCTGCTTTCGTCAAAGGATTGGCAGTCACTGGAAGTTCTATGGCTGCTGATGGTATTTCTGGTAGAGTTCCAGATGGTGGTAGGTTATGCAGTCTTTCAAAGCGATCAGCCCACTGTTTGCTGCGTCTCTACTCTTGGCAATTAGGTTCTTTTCACTATCTTTTATCGGTTTCATCTGAGCTGATCACCTCACTGATAGCAGCATTGTGATCTGATATAATATTCTGAGGTCTTTTTTTCCCTCACCTGTACTACTTCAGTCGCCAGTGTTCCTCAGAATTGTCTTTTGTCATTCTTCGCATTTTTCTTCAACTCTTCTCACACTGCGTTATGCACTGAATTGTGCTTCTCCTACCGTTGTACATCTTTGTATGGGTTCACTTTTTGTTATCCAATCCCCCTCTTATCTTTTAGATTCTACTTATCTGTAGAAAGCCGTTCCTTTTCTTGCCTCTTCTTTATTCATAAAACGGCTATAAATTATCCTCAATCACCACTTTCATACAGTTCCAGTGTTCTTCAA